TCATCGCAGCACTGTTTATAATAGCCAGGACATGGAAGCAACCTAGATGCCTATCAGCAGACAAATGGATAAGGATCTACGGTACATATACACTATGGAATATTACTCACCATTAAAAAGAATTCATTTGAATCAGTTCTAATGAGATGGATGAAACTGGAGCCCATTATACAGAGTGAAGTAAGCCAGAAAGATAAAGACCAATACAGTATACTAATGCATATATATGGAATTTAGAAAGATGATAACAATAACCCTATATGCAAGACAGAAAAAGACACAGATGTACAGAACAGACTTTTGGACTCTATGGGAGAAGGCGAGGGTGGGGTGTTCTGAGAGAATAGCATTGAAACAAGTATACTATTAAGGGTGAAACAGGTCACCAGCCCAGGTTGTATGCGTGAGACAAGTGCTCAGGGCTGGTGCACTGGGAAGACCCAGAGGGATGGGATGGAGAGGGAGGCGGGAGGGGGGATCAGGATGGGGAACACATGTAAATCCGTGGCTGATTCATGTCAATGTATGGCAAAAACCACTACCATATTGTAAAGTAATTAGCCTCCAACTAATAAAAATAAATAGGGGAAAAAACGAGTTTTTTAAATAAAACTTTTACTTAAATGTGTTTTCCTACTGACATTTCACTCTGAATATTAAATTAAAAATGCACATTAAAAATTCACACTAAGTGAATAAATTATTGCTTTCTGTTTCCTTTAAAAATAAATTTCCTCAAGACACACATGCATATGTAAGGTATGCCAACCTTCTGACATCCACTCTCCCCACCTAGCTGAGGCCATTTTTAAATTCTTTTAATAGTTATTTCCAGTTATTCCTGACATACCTGTAGCAAACCAATCAAGAGACCCACAAAGCTGTACTGTTGAGTCTTGGTCACTGCATTTTAGGCTGAATGTATCCACTCAGTTCTGTAGTCAAGCTGTGTATTACAAAATATATGTACTTTATTTTATATCACTAGTGTTAGGGAAAAGGAAATCTGTTGTTGAAATTATTAGAAAATTGGTACTTTGAGGGCCCACCTCTATTTGCCAGTATCACCTTTGGTCCTGAGTGTTCAAATATTTCTGAGTTGAAATCCAGTTGTAATTTTATTTTATTTTATTTTATTTTTAAATCAACCTAACATTTATAAGAGCTGCTCTGGGCAGTTAACACAGTTTGTTTACAATGAAGAGTTATCTAACTTTGAACATACTATACATGGCAATTAGAAATTGTCATGGTAAGAAAAAAACCACAGCCCACTTTCAGCAACCAACACAAAACAGCCAGAAACAGTAAGGAAAATGTAAGGACAAAAGTGGGGTTTTTTTTTATTATAAAAGAAAAAAATAGTAACTCCTCAGAATCTTAACAAAGGAAGGGAATAATTTCACACTCAAGAGAACAGACACCAAGATACAAAATTACAGTTGTTTGGACTCCAGATTTGTCCCATCTCCTCCAGAGCAGAGATGGGGAGGAGACAGCTGAAGCAAACAAGCAATTAATTCTGTAAAACAAAGACTTAGAAACCATACAGATATGATTAAAATCTAAAATTCTGTTTTGCTTTAAAAAAAATTTTTTTTTAATATTATCAAAAGGCCTGCTTTAGTGACATGCTAGCCCCACTGGAAAATAACCCCAATACCCCCTTGTCAGTAACATGCTCAAGTTGACCAGCCAACTCATATTTCCAAATCCCTGTGTGTACAAGAACATATGTGTCTTTTAAACCTGGGGCTCAGGTGATGGCTACTGCTAGCATGGGCTTCCACCTGTTAACCAACCAGCATCAGCCTCCCCAGAAGTGCGAGCAGGGCAGAGAGAAGCCCTGAAGTGGGAGCGAGGGAATAACAGCCCCAAACGGCCAACTTTTCCAACGTAGCCTCCCCCATCCCCATGCCCACGCAAAAAGGAGATCCTTATATCTAACCAGACTGCTTGTCTCAAATTTGGGTTCCCCGTAACCAGAATGGCTTTTTGTCCCTAAAGAGAAAACACACGTTTATCTGCACACATACATATATATAATTTTTTTGTTTTTACACTTAAATAGAAAAATACTACTCTGCTTTGTGTCATAAATGGAGGACCACACAATGACAACTTTTTTTTTTTTAAAATAGGGCTATCCATCTGTTTATGTGGAGCCTGTCAGGGCGTTGAGCCCTAGGCAAGGGAAGCACCACACCAGGTAGGTTGTTTTTCCTACCTGACTTCCCACCTTTCCTTTCCCCCTAATTCTCACTTTTGATAGAAAGTTGGTTACAACCTTGAAAGTAATAGAACTTCCCACCAAGAAGGGAAATCGTAACCTAACCACAGAATCCAGCACCCCTGTCCCCCACTCAGTAACCACTCAGAAAAAGTCCTCCCCATCTCTTCACAATGACTGGGCTCTCTGTCCAGAGAGCTATGCCTATTGGACAAACACACCTGATTAAATGGAAGCAGTGCTTATGTTTCCCCGCCCCTGCTCCCAACTAATGCACTAGGAAGCTTCAGTGATAGGAAAAAGAAAAGGGCAGGGGTAGGTAGGTGGTTGTGCAGTGATTAAGAACTTGACCCCTTCAATCCTGACCAAAGAAAGCAAGAGATATTAACTGGGTGTGGGGAATTAAAAAAAAAAAAACAAGAACCTTGATATTCCACCCTTTGAGTTATAGCTATTATGACATTGAGAGGGGTGAGAGTGAGTTAGATGTAGAATTAAGAGGGGTTTTGAGGCTGCAAGTCTAGTCCACTTAGTTCTTGTACTGGAAGGGCTCGTCGCCGGTTTCGTTCAGAAGACGTGCGGATGAGGGCTTCTGTCACAGCGAAGGGGTCACAGTTGGCAGATGGGTGACGATCTTCGAAGTAGCCCTTCTTCTCCTGGCCAACAGTCTGGGGGATGCAGATGCTAGCACCACGGCTGGCCACGCCAGCAGAGAAGTCATCGATGATGGAGGTTTCGTGGAATCCAGTTAGGCGCTGGGCATTGTCCAGGCCTCCCTTGGGATCGTAGGCTCGGATGTGGTACTGGTGTCACTTGCTTAGTTTCTCAGTGGCCTCCTCAATGTACTTCAGACCATTGTCCTCTCGCATGGCCTTGGTGCTAAAGTTGGTGTGGCAGCCGGCACCATTCCAGTTCCCAGGAATGGTCTTAGGATCAAAGGTGGCAGTCACACCAAAGCCTTCACACACACGATGCAAGATGATCATGGGCCACCCAGAGATGATCACCCATGTCAATTCCTTCACAGGGTCCTATCTGGAACTCCCACTGTGTAGGCATGACGTCGGCATTCATGCCCCTGATCTTGATGCTGGCGTACAAGCAGGCCTGGTAGTGAGCCTCCACAATATCCCTGCCGTAGGCCTTGTTTGCTCCCACACCACAGTAGTAGGGACCTTGGGGCCCAGGAAAGCTGTTGGAAGGCCAACCAAAGGGGTGCCCATCAGTGCCCATGAGGGTATATTCCTGCTCCATTCCAAACCAGGGGCGCTGGTTGCTCACCATGTCCATTATCCGTTTACAGGTGTGCCTGCAGGCTTTCGGTTGTACTTGAAGACTTCACAGAACACCAGCTTGTTGGGGTCCTTGCGGAAAGGGTCCCGAAACATGGCAGCAGGGACAAGATACATGTCACTGTTGGACCCTTCAGACTGAAAAGTGCTAGAGCCATCAAAATTCCACTTGGGCAACTCTTCTACACACTTGGGTTCAGAATCCAAGGTTCGGGTCTTGCAGCGCAGTCCTTCTCCAGTACCGTCGATCCAGATGTACATAGCTTGGACTTTCTCGCCCTGAGGTAGGGCCATGTACACCTGCTTGATGCCTTTGTTCAAGTGGGAGCTCGCCGAGGCGGCCATGGTGGAAGGTGTTCTGGGCGCCGAGCAAAGCGGCAGGGCGAGCAGGCGGCGAGAGCGAGGTGAGGAGAAGAGAGGCAAGGAGGACGGGGAGGCGCTGCTTAGACAGCCGGCTCTTCTCCCATTCTCGGCTCTCTCCAGTTGTAATTTTAACAGCTGTGTGTCTTTGGCGGTTTATAGCAGCTCTGGTCATCTCAGCGTCCTAGGTACCTGTGTTGCTACACCCCTCCCCTGCGAGGGCTTCACTACAGGAGACGGGTGAAGTGAAAAGACCAGCCACGGGCTCACCACTGACCCTCCTCAAGCCTGGTGTCACTCTGCATTTTCAACCTTAATACATATTGTCACTACAAAAATTAAAGTGGCAGGCTTAACACTTGCTAGGAGTGCGTGTGTGTGTGTTAAGTCTCTCAGTCATGTCTAACTCTTTGCAATTCCATGGACTGTAGCCCACCAGGCTCCTCATCTCTAGAATTCTCCAAAGAATACTGGAGTGAGTTGCCATGCCCTCCTCCAAGGTATCTTCCCGACTTAGGGGTTGAAACTTGAGTCTCCTGCATTGCAGGTAGATTCTTTATCATTTGAGCCACCATTTATTGTAGAGCTTGAAAAACAGTGATGGAATCCAGGAGGGTGAACCTGTGATGGTGGAAAGACAAGAAGGAAACACATCTGGAAATGGGTGCTTGTGCTGTGACCTGAGCTATCTCCACTCTGATCACCCCCTTCTGCACGGTCAGGAAATAAACACAGTCACTGTTTGTATCTGTACCATGGCCTTTCAAACATGATTTTATCCTAAAGGTAAGATTCATGGATGTAACAAAATAGCAGTAAGCCGAAACTGCATTTAAACAAGGTAATTATGAAAGTTCAGAACTAGAAAGCTTACCTTGTTTTGTATAGCAACTGAGGACCTTCAGATGCACTGGGTTTTACTCTTAAGGATGGCAACAGGGGTTTCACTCCTGACTGGTTTGGGACAACACTTGTCAGGGCTAGAAGGGAGTCTGAAACACTTTAAACAGCAGGTCGTTTCCTCAAACAGGTTTCTGCCTGTAAGCGGTTCCTGTCGTTCTGTTCCCCCCAACAGGATGGGGAGTCGGACAGCTACTGGGGGCCACCGAGTCCCACAGAGACCCCCATGGATGATGGAAGCCAGGCTGTGACCCAACAGCCAGGAGGGCGCAATCACTCCTGTAAATGTGCCCACAGTCTTCTGTTATGAGGGTCAAATCAAACATAAACTGTCCTCTCACAGTCCTAAGCTGACCATCTGGTCCACTGCCCACAGCTCCCCATCTGCCATCTCCTCCTCAATTGTTCCTCAGAGAAGCTAGGAAAAACAGCCCTTCCATGGACCACAGGGCTATGGAATCACAGAGAAATACCCTACAGTGAAAATCATACCTTCTGTGTGCTACTTCATAAGTTGGAATCAATTTTGGTTTCCAACTGAATGCGAAAATTGCAAAATAGAAAATCTTTAAAAATTCAGTTGAATTCTGCCTAATTTACTAGTTATGTGGTGGTAGAATCTCTTAAGGCAAAGAGATAACTTTATATATGTAGTTAAACACTTAAATCAAGCAGAGAAGTGGATATAAAAACCCACCTCAACCCAAACCCAACAAAAAAGCCATTCGTGCCATCTCTAAACTTAGAAATTGATCTCTAAATATTTAAAATCATCATGTGAAAAATGTAAGCTATGGAGCCAAATGTTGAAATAGTGTCTTGATCTCCCTGGTGTTTTCAGAATGCTAAAACCCAAAACTGTGGTGCTGGAGAAGACTTTTGAGAGTCCCTTGGACAACAAGGAGATCAAACCAGTCAATCCTAAAGGAAATCACCCCTGAATATTCATTGGAAGGACTGATGCTGAAACTGAAGCTTTGGCCACCTGATGCAAAAAGCCGACTCATTGGAAAAGACTCTGATGCTGGGAAAGATTGAAGGAGGAGAAGGAGACGATAGAGGATGAGATGGCTGGATGACATCACAGACTCAGTGGACATGAGTGTGAGCGAACTGCAGGAGAAGGTGACGAACAGGCAAGCCCTGCATGCTGCAGTCCTTGGAGTTGCAAAGAGTTGGATATGACTAAACAACATCTCTCTCTCTCTCTCTCTCTATATATATATATATATATATATATATATATATATATTATTCCATCCAAAAGCAGAATACCCACTCTTTTCAAGCATACATGGAACATTCTCTAGGACACATGACATGCAAGGCCCCAATACATGCCTTGATAAGTAAGAAAATGGGAATAATATCAATGATCTCTTCTGACCACAACACTGTTGAGACTAGAAGTCACCAGGAAAACTGCAAAAAGCACAAAACCTTGGAAGATAAACAACATGCTACTAAGCAGCCAATGGGTCACAGAAGAAATTAAAGAAGTAACAAAATTAATAAAAATACCTGGAGACAAAATGAAATGATCCAAAAATCTATGGGAGGAAGCAAAGTTCTAAGAGGGAAGTTTTAGTGATACAAGTCTGCCTCGAGAAACAAGAAAAACCTGTAACAATCTAACCTTATGCCCAAAGGAATAGGAAAAGAACAAAGGAAACCCAAATTGAGAAGAAAAGAAATCTTCAATATCAGAGGACATAAGTGAAGAAAAAATTGAATAACAGATAAGATCAAGGAAACAAAACAGCTGGTTTTGGGAAGAGGGAAACAAAACTGATAAACCTTTAAAAAGACTCAATCATGAAAGAAAGGGAGAGGACCCTAATCAATAATTTAAAAAAAAGAAATGAAAAAGAAGCTATAACTGGCACCACATGAATACAAAGGATCATGAGAGACTTATAGTTACTGAATTAAAGTAAGTTACATGTACTAAGTAAGTTACTAAGTTACATGAAAACTTATAGTTACTAAAAGTAACTAAAGTAACTATACATCAATAAAATATACAAGCTATAAGAAATGGACAAATTCTCTGAAATGTACAATCTCCCAAGACTAAACCAGGAAGAAATAGAAAACACCAACAGACCAATTACCAGTACTGAAATTTAACCAGTAATTTAAAACTCTCAACAAACAGAAATCCAGGTCCAGATGGCTTCACAGGTAAATTCTACTGTACATTTGGAAAAGATTAATAACAACCCATCCAAAACCATTCCACAAAAACTACAGAGGAAGGAATGCTTCCGAATTTATTCTGAGGCCAGCATCACCCTATGGCCTGCTGCTGCTGCTGCTAAGTCGCTTCAGTCGTGTCCGACTCTGTGCAACCCCATAGACGGCGGCCCACCAGGCTCCTCTGTCCATGGGATTTTCCAGGCAAGAGTACTGGAGTGGGGTGCCATTGCCTTCTCCGACCCTATGGCCCAAACCAGACAAATAAACCACAGAAACAAGAAAGTAGCGGCCAGTAACATGAATAAACACAGATGTAGAACCCTCAATGAATAAGCAAGGAAATCCAGGAATTCATTAAAAGGACCACACATCATGATCAAGGGAGATGTATCTCAATATCCATCTATCATTGTGATACACCACAGTTTAACAAAGTCAAATTATTGTCTCAGTAGGTACAGGGAAAGCTTTTTTTTTCTCTTCCATTTATTTTTATTAGTTGGAGGCTAATTACAATATTGAAGTGGTTTTTGCATACATTGACATGAATCAGCCATGGGTGTACATGTGTTCCCCATCCTGAACCCCCCTCCCACCTCCCTCCCCATCCCATCCTTCTGGGTCATCACATTGTACCAGCCCTGAGCACTTGTCTCATGCATCCAACCTGGACTGGCGATCTGTTTCACCCTTGATAATATACACGTTTCAATGCTATTCTCTCAGATCATCCCACCTTCACCTTCTCCCATAGAGTCCAAAAGTCTGTTCTATACATCTGTGTCTCTTTTTCTGTCTTGCATATAGGGTTATCATTACCATCTTTCTAAATTCCATATATATGTGTTAGTATACTGTATTGGTGTTTTTCTTTCTGGCTTACTTCACTCTGTATAATGGGCTCCAGTTTCATCCATCTCATTAGAATTGATTCAAATGTATTCTTTTTAATGGCTGAGTAATATTCCATAGTGTATATGTACCATAGCTTTCTTATCCATTCATCTGCTGATGGGCATCTAGGTTGCTTTCATGTCCTGGCTATTATAAACAGTGCTGTGATGAACACTGGGGTACACGTGTCTCTTTCAGTTCTGGTTTCCTCGGTGTGTATGCCTAGGAGTGGGATTGCTGGGTCATATGGTAGTTCTATCTCCACACTGTTCTCCATAGTAGCTATACTAGTTTGCATTTCCACCAGCAGTGTAAGAGGGTTCCCTTTTCTCCACACCATCTCCAGCATTTATTGCTTGTAGACTTTTGGATGGCAGCCATTCTGACTGGTGTGTAATGGTACCTCACTGAGGTTTTGATTTGCATTTCTCTGATAATGAGTGATGAAAAAACTCTCTTCTAAATAAAAAGTTTAAAGAAACAAGCATTTTGCCCAATAGTCCCTACGAGAGCTTCAAATGCAATAATACCAAAACATTTTTATTTTTATAATTCACCTATAATAAATTCCCCAAGTTATGTATACAGGCTTATTGTTTCATAGTTATTGATGATTTCTGTGTTTATTCCATTAAGACATTTAGAAAGAAAATGGAAATATAATTGGTATAAACTGTAAGTTCTAAAAATCTTAAGGGAGAACAACTTTTCCCCATTATAACAATTCTCTGTCAAAGGTATATCATTGTTTATGGGGTGGGGGAGGGAAGGATTGGGAGTTTGGGATTAGCAGATGCAAGTTATTATATACAGGGTGGATAAATAGTAAGGTCCTACTGTATGGCACAGGGAACAATATTCAGTGTCCTGTAATAAATCATAATGGAAAAGAATATGAAAAAGAATATATATTTATGTAACTGAGTCACTGCTGTTCAGAAGAAATCAGTGCAATTCAATACAAATCAACACATTGTAAGTCAGCTATACTTCAATAAATTTTTAAAAAGTAGATCATTGTTGTCACTCTTTTAATGTTAGAAATATTAGGTACTCTCTACTACTGAATGTTTTCAAAGACTCTGACCTTTTATTTTAAATTGGAGCAAAATGAAAGAATTCAACCTACAGATTAACTGAGGTTACTTGTTTTAAACAGAGCAGGAGGTTCAGGTCACAGAGGGGCCTTAAGTGATGAAAGAAGTAATGTAGAAGTGTCACAAATACAATATTTATTTATTAGATATTATTAAAGCCCTACTCTGTGCCCGACCTGTGAACTGCTGGTAGTTAGGCCATCTGCTCAGTCACCTTTTAACTTAGAGGGAGATGAGGGCACAGGGA